TTGACATTTGCTTGCTTGGATTTCTGGTATCCGTAAGTGCACTATTGCTATGAGGATGTCTGCGGATGGCACAGTCACCCGCCATTGGATGAGTACCTCCAGATTTCTGTGAGCGAGAGCGCATGATGCTTGGAAGCAATTCTTGGATTGACTACTATACTGGTGAAGTTGTTTAGGCTGCAATACTTGAGAGAATCAAATGTCGAAGATACAACAGGCTCATGGCTCTTGGAGAAACAAAAGAGTTTCCAGGTATGCTCAAATCCTCGGATTGCATGCAATGAAAATGGAAGAACTACCCCTATGCTTAACAAGGTCAATATTTGTGCCACGTTAAAAAGGCCACCATATTCTTGAAGCTATTATATCACAAGACTCTGGATTTGACACTCTTTATTTGGCATGTCTTGGTCTCACAATGACATTAACGTGCTCTAGCAGTCTCCATTGTCTGTAAGGTTGTGTGAGGGTAATGCTCTGAAGTGCAACTATACCATCATGGCCAGGACTACAACATTAGGTACTACCTTGCTGATGGTATATGTCCTCACTGGGCAACGTTTGTCAATACCATCTCTAATAAAAGAGGTACCCGAATATCTCACTTCACTGCAAGACAAGGTGCTAGAAAGAATGTGGAGAGGGCATTTGGATCGTTCCAACCCATTTTGAAGTTGTTCACTGACCTTCTAAAAATTTAGAGACATCGCGAGAGGTTATGACATCATATGTGATCATGCACACCATGACTGCGCAGGATGAGGGCGAGGCAGTTTACAATATTCTAGATTTTGAACATATGGGTGTACCTATCAAGATTCCACATCAAGAGGCGGCGACGTTTCAAGAATTTCTCCAAATGCATCATCTGATTCACAATCAAACAACTCATACCCAGTTTCAGAATGATCTAGTAGAACATTTGTGGACGTTTCTATTAAGCTTCAGGCACTAGCCAACGTAAGCAAAAGTTCGAACTGATGGAAAAGGCTAGGCAATCCACATATACGCTTCAACACCCCCTCTCGCGTATGAAGCGAGAAGTCAACATGTGAATAGACTGATAGATATGGCTGAAGAGGCCTATACATGATCACAGAGGGGCAACAACAATTTTTGGATAAATTGTGAAAGCTAAAACTTGAACTCAAGACCTTAGGTCCCGATACCATGTTAAGCTTTGCGTTGGCTAGTGCATGAAGCTTAACAGTTTCATGTGGACAATTAGAACTATTTATTTGGAAATTTTATTTTATGATTATATATTTGAGTTATTGTAGCATTGGAATATTTATATGTGAATTGATGTATTGTATTTATGTTCAATTATTTCCAATATTTGTAGAAAGATGACTTTGGAAAAGAAAGGAGGGGCAAACAAATATGGGATATTTTGAAGATAGTGTTGGAAGGCTGGCGCCTAGCCATTTAAGGGTGTCATGGACGTCCATGAAGATACCCTAAGTAGTCATTGGGTGGGGCCGGATGGGGTAGGGGGACATGACGAACCTCTTTTCATGGTGCTTAGAAAATCTCTTTTTAGATATTGTCGTCAGGTGGCCGTTAGATTTTTATGTGTTGGCGTTAGATGGCCGGAACCTGGCGCCCACATGTTTGGTTGTATCCGCAAATAAATAGGGACGCGCATTTCCGTAGTTGCCTTGAAGATGCTCTTACCTCTCTAGCTCTATGCATAGAAGCGACACGACAGTTGACGAACTATGACACCAACCGTGTTGTATTGAAGACTGCTGAGACTATTTGAATCCCCACCATTGTTTCATATTCAAATTTGCAAACTTTTGTGAATATGCGTCCCAAACAAAAATCTTGCATTGGTGGAGATACTTGCCTGAGTTATTGTGATGGTTATCAGCCGAAGCGTCCCTGCTTGATAAGTTGGTAGCCTGTAATGTAAACAAAAAACATTGGAGGTTTAGGCTGTCCCAATGCTTCAAGGTGTACTATATCTGAAACATACCACGTAGGTAGAAATCTGACGTGGTGTTATATTTAATGAGGAAATATATTATTGCTATATCATAATCCAGATATAGCTCTTAGCATAAAAACCAAGAAAACTATTTTTTGCACAAAACATATTAAATGAGAGTAAATTTAGATACAAATCTAAGATATATAATGCGTTGGAGAAGTTGTGTCTAATACACATTTATATCATATAGTTTAAGATATAGTGCACTGGAAGTGCCCTTAGTCCATGTCCCTCGAGGCCTCTCTAATACGATACTATTTGAAAAATGTGTGCCTTATAGTTGAGCAATATTTTAGTGGTACGTTAAACCAGCTTTCAATTATCAGTGGTTGACAGGAAGTTGTTCCATGCATGGAACAACTACTGACACACTAATCAAAAATATTTATCCATCTTTTCGGATTTGTTGGGCATATTTCGAAAATATTTGAAATCAAGGCACTGTATGCAGACACTGAATAAGCAGGAACAGTAACACGCCCTAGTTAGTTCATATGTAGTGATTTAATGCACCTCACAATTCTAAATCTAAAATGCGATGAAGAGGAGTATAATAGGGATTAACAATCTGAAAAAGTGAAAAAAATGAGATAGACCAAACAAACCAGAAAGAAGGGAGTAGGTGGCAAACTCGCATGGATATTTTTGCATTTATGGCATATATAGTATTCACTCCATCCTAAAATAAGTGTTGCTGACTTAGTACAACTTTATATTAAAGTTGTACTAAATCAATGATACTTATTTGGGGATGGCGGGAGTTGTTGATATGTTTTGCTTAGATGAGATAGATATTCACGATTTAGTCTTCTAGGAAAATGTTGTGCTCGAAAATTATTGTAAATCCAACTATGAAGTACTATCTACTCCCTCCGTAAAGAAATATAAGAGCGTTTAGATCACAACTTGTTTAGATCACTAAAGTAGTGAGTGATCTAAACGCTCTTATATATCTTTACGGAAGGAGTACTTGCTTAATCCATTCCCGTCTATAAAATGCACGTGTGGGTCTAAACCGCTAGGAAGGTACTACATCTATAAACACACCGAAAACACTAATACCAAATAAAATTTGGAAGAGAAATATTTTCATTGTTGTAGCTCCATCGTATTATAAAAAAGGAAGTCTAAATGGCTAGAGTGAAAATATCACTAATCTTTTAATACCTCAATTGTAAGTGACAATGCCTCAATATCAATCCAATTAAGTTCATTGATGATCTCTACTATGGTGGGTCTTTTATGCTGGTCATCCTCCAGACATCTTAATGCTATTCCGATGCATGTTTTAATTTCTTCCCATGTTTGTGACGACATTGTTGGATGTAACTTCTGCCATTTTTCACATACCTTCAAAATTGACAAAACAATGTTCACATGTTGCATAGATGTACCGAGGGAGAATAAGACCAAACCTAAATCTATGAAAGACGAGTATTCATGATTCAGAAACCCTTTTTCTTACAAGATCCATCATTTTTTCGGAAGGAACACTTCCAGAATCATGGTAGGTCTGGCGTCCTGCCATTATTTGTATGATAATAGCACCCAAACTAAACACATCGTATTTTGGTGAGATTTCTTGTTTGTTGATATATTCCGGTGGCATGAATCCCCTGCATGGGATCATATCCAATTAATTTGCTACAAAGTTATATTAGAACTACATATTTCTCATAGTGTACTAACTCACATTGTCCCCATCATTCTTGTTGTGGTGGTAACGGTTTTTGTTGAAGGGAAGATTCTTGATATACCAAAATCTCCAATTTTCGGAATCATGTTGTTTCCCAGCAATATATTTGCTGGCTTTAAGTCTAGATGGTAAATGGAATCTATATGTCCGTTATGAAGATAATTCAAACCCTGACAAACTCCCTTAATTATCTTGTAACATGTCTGCCAGTCAGGCCTACACGGCTGGTCATCTGTAGAAATAAACATGAAATGTATTGAAAGAGGTCATAAATAAGGTATAATGTTTCCTTTCAGGCAAAAAAACATAATCTAAGTAGAGCACTGTCATACCAGAAAGGTGACTCTCAAGATTTCCACCGTGCAAATACTCAAAGCAGAGAATTCTTATTGGCTCATGAGCAAAGATATATTGCCCATTGTGCATAACCCAACTAGTACCGGGATGGTAGCAATAGCCAGAAAACTGTACAATATTTTGATGATGGGCCCTAATAATGTTATTGAACTCATTTGTAAATTCCTTGTCGTCAAGCCCTTTGTGAGTAAGCTTCTTCAGAGCAATCACATCTCCATTGTCCAATACTCCCTGTTCGGTATTTCTTGTTCATATGGCACATTGGTTCTTGAAGTTTACAGTAGCACAACAGTTAAGAAAATAGAAAATTTAATTAACAACCGCACCTTGTAAACTACTCCAAACCCACCCTCGCCAATTATGTTGTCCTCGGAAAAATTATTCGTAATACGTTGTAGGTATTCGAGTGGAAACTCCCTTGGCTGTGGACTTGCATCCTGTAAACTGCTCTCCATTGTATCCCTGTATCTCCTGCTGTCTAGGACGAGCCTCCACGTCCCATCCGTCTAATAACACAGAAGTCGTTTCAAATTGATAAGCTGAAAGTTTATTCTTTTTTGATAAAAAAATTGAAAGGTTGTATGAATAATTTTCAGAAAGAACAGACATGTTTCTGATTTAGAAAGGAATAAATATGTCACTATATGCCTTGTTCTTTTTACAAATACTAACTCGGACGCTCTGATATTGCTGTGTTAGGATTAACAGTCTCAATTTGACCTACTTGCTCAGATGCGCAGCATACCTTGATTAGGCTGGCCGGCAGCAGGCTAATAAAGAAGAAACAAAACCTGTAACAACGAGCTAGCAAGCTCAAGAACTGATAATGGAGGAAAACTGAAGAAATGGAAGCAGTTAGCTAGCAGCTTTCTTCAACACAAATCGGACAAAAGGGTAGAGGGATTAACAGAGGAATCCTTAGGAGTAGTCCCGGACTAACCTGGAGAGGGCTTTTGTGAAGGGGGAGGAAGAGTATGTACGAATGCAGATGCGACGTTAATCCCTATGGAGAATGCTTCCACGGCCGGCTCGTATGACCAGAGAGGCAAGAGGAGGGTGTTAGAGAGGACGACATGCAAAACAAGTTTTGATTGATCGAGATGTAGACCTGGAAGAAAAAAAAATCAGCTTTGTACCTTGGCAACACGACAACTTGGTAGCCCCGAAAGAATCGACAACAGACGGAGCAAATTAGGCTTGCAGCGACAACTTGGAGATAATTAATTGCAGAATTGTTATAGTTCAAGTGGCTAAAAAAGAACTATATTTTCCAGTCGATGAGTAATACTCCCTCCGTCCACACGAACGACACGAGGAAGAAGAAGAAAGGAGGGACAGGAAGGACACAAGTGACACGGTGGTGTTTTTCCCGGCACACGAACGCCGCTGCCACAAAGGCCAATTTCACGAGCAACTCGACACACACACATTACAACGAGCTCCACAGGGGTCCTATACCCAGGGCGCGGTCAGCAGTGGGCACGACCCACGCCCCCATCCACTTGAAACGCTTGATCCGGCCCGCTCTGGCCGTTCCCACGACGCGCACGCATGCGCCGGAATCGTGCCGAGCTTGCAACGGATCAGTGCCAGTCACCCCCGTCCAGCTCGCCAACGGCTTGGACCTGGTCCAGTGCCTCGCGCGAGTGCGCGCGAACACTCGCGCGCCCGCACCCTTGCTCTACCTACACACGCACACATGCAACCCAGACCTGCCCTGTACACTAGTCGGACACAAGTCAGACTATGGCCACAACATACACGGGTCGGATACTAACCAGAACTAGTAAAACGCCCGTGCGTTGCCACGGGCTTTTGAAAAAAAAGATAAGGTACTACTCACTGAATTAATATTACCGAGAACAATGTTGTCTAAGCTAACTTACATCTTTTCTTATTTTTGACAGTCGGCTAACACACATCATATTATCAAACACAATAGTCTTAGAGCACATATAGCCGGTCCCCTCAAATCTGCGGACACGCCCGATCATTGGCCGAACAGGAGAGAGAAGGAAAATGGTAACCCAACCCGGCCCCTTATATCATCCCCGGTCTAGGCTATCCGCAAACTCTCATATCGAACACATTTAGCGTCGCGCAATGTGCGCCTCCTCGCGATGTCCACGTCGGACTTGCTACCAGACAAAAATGTTCGCTTTATCGAGAAGAAAGAGAGAAAGAGATTGGCCTCGAGAGTCGAGCCCCACCACTTCCTTATCCTTTCCTCCAAATTTTCACATCGCACGCAACCTTCTCTGGGCATGTACAATGCATAGCCTCAAGGTGATGCCTCGCATGCCATGTAGGATCGGATATGACGTAAAATAGGTTCGGATAGGGAAGCGGGATCCTGGGTGCTTGAAGAGAAAAAGTGTGGTCCGGTGACAAAAGCTGAAAAGGTTGGAGTGAAAAGTAGAGATGCATGTGTATTAGAGTCTTTATTTTCTATTTCTTAATTAGGCCCACTAATGGCAGCTTGCATTGGGGAGAAAAAATAGATGTAGATGCCTCAAATTACTTTTTGTCACGAGGCATATGTATCCATATGCTACCATTGTACATGCCCTCTCATGACGCCGCCGCCGCCGCCGCCTCCACTTCTCTCCCCCGATTCTCCTCGCGCCTGCTCCGAGCCCCTCCTCTTCCCTGTGTCGGCTGCTCGACGCGCCGCGCCACCACTGCGGGAGAAGGTGAACACGAGGAGATGCAGGGTGGGTGGCCTCCGCCGGAAGAGGGTGACGCCGGGAACCACCGGCTGGCCAAGGACCTTGTGGGATGGCACTTCCCCGCGGCGCCCTCCTTCCCCGGCTTCGCCGTCGCCACTACCCCCTCCCCTCCTGTCGAGGCTGAGCGTGCACAGAGTGGACGAGTCGATCGCGACGGAACCAGAGTCACTCGAGGCCTGGGTGCGAGATGATGTCAAGCAGGCGGAGGGGTGGCATTGGGAGGAGTAGCCCACAATGAAATCCATTTTCTCTTTGTGTTCTGTTGGATTTGGATCAAGGAAGGAGATGGCGTGGGGATGAGGCGGTGGACAGAGGAAGAGGGCGATGCTGGCTGGCTGAGCGGGCGGATCTGGATCCAAGCGGCCCCTCGTGTGTTTGATCTGTTAGTTGACATGATCTTATCTCCTCTATCTCCCCTCTCTTCTCTCACTGACCCATCTGGTCTTGTTTCTGCAGGTACAACGGCCAGAGGAGCAGGCCAACATCCCTCTTTACCTCCCACCCAACACCAACGTGGTGAGCTTTCCCTCTCCACCATCTACCCCCAGATCTGAACATCAACTACAGTTTGTACGTTTTGGTTATACTCTATTTCAGTTTATACAATTCTCGTTTTGGGTAAACTTTTGTCTTAGATGCCATGGCTGAAACTAGAGCAAACACATAAAACCTACAGAGAAAGGATTACGCACTTTTATCAGGTGTTAAGTTCAGCTGCCTTGATCATGGCAGTGCTAAGTAAATTTATAATTGGTTTCTGCTGATCTGTGGATAGGTAGCCTAACCGGTGATGGCTAGCCTCACCCTGTTGAATCTGATCGGGTATTGTGAGAACCAAAATGAATTTATTTTGCTCCGCTTCTTACAAGCACTTGTCTTAAGTAGATGCCACAATCTCATCTTCAATGATGGATTTTACTATGTCGTGCCTATTAAGCAGCCAAAGATCAAATATTTGACTCCATCACTAATAGTAAGATGCACACAAAGAATATCTGCACGCAGTCATTCTCATTCACCGAAGTTTGGTTCTTTGTTATATAAATCAGTTAGATTTCTACAAAAGTGATTCTTGTTGCTAGGTGCATCATCGTCAAGGATGTGTTTTCCCCACTTGGGAGCAACATCTAGAATATACTAGTAAGATGCCCGTGCTATGCTACGGGAACAAAAAAAAAGATGGTTGACTTAAGTCATAGTAAGGAGCCCATCTAGTAGGAAGACTCGTTGTTCTCTCTACTTAGCTCTATTGCTCGCTCTATCCTATTTCGGCAGTAAATAGGAAAATTTATCCACACACGTGGCAACTACGACAACATGGACCAATTTTATCTCTGAATCCAAACCGTCTACTCTGCAAGGTTTACCACTTTGCAAGGTGTAAAGATAAAAAATCAAATCTCATCGTAATATCTTGAAGATAGCAATCCGCAATAATGCAAGCATGATCAGCCGATGCTAAATATTGATAAAATAGTTTGCTAAGCGTATTCAAGTGTCATCCTATTCTTTCCTATTTCCATCGCTGCAAATCAGTTATTAAGACAGGATTAGATACATATTTTAGGTTTTCGCATACTTGCTGCTCTTGTCCGTGGACGGCGTCCGGGCAGACTCCTCGTCGTCGGCGGCCAAACCGAAAGATCTAATTGCCGGAGAACGGGGCAAAATACATCTTGAATTGCATCGAACTACTAAGATCAATGCGTAGCATTGCAGTATAAAATCAATCAATCAACCTAGCATCGAATTGGGTAGCTAAGAATGGACGCATTAGTTGAAAATGGGGTTGCCAGCTGTTGTCAATCGGGCTGGGTCTAACTCGTTGGAGAGGTAGTATGATCTGATGGCGCTAAGAGACGGATTTTAAAAATTGCAGTGAACAATTATCAACGGCGTCAAAGACGGGAAGGTGGGGTTTAAGATCTACGGCCAGGTCGAGAGAAGGCCAGACTTCTCCATCCATTACTACTCTTTTCTCTAGGAAGGTAACCATGTGTTTGGAACAAACATATAAGGATTCTGAATCTGAAGATAATAGGAAACATATCAGGATACAACACCACATGTGGGTCTTTTCTGGAAAGATCCAGCAGCGCACAGAAGGCCGAGGGAATTGCAAATTCATCCGCCGTAGGCCACGAACCTTCTACATTGAGCCGCAATAGCCGGGGATCCACCCTGTGCCACCGTCAGGCCTCCAGCATCAACGTCTTCACCCAACGAAGCCGGCCAAGTGCACCAGCGCCGCCCAACCGCCAAACCTGCCCCGAGCCAACAATCTTTCCGCTGCCCACTCCTGCATAGGATTGGAAGGATTGGAGAAGAGGATGAGATGGAAGAAAAGCCGACGGGATATGTAAGGAATAGCCGAGGGGCGAGAGACTGGATAAGCCAATCGCACCACCACGAAACCTCCCTTCAGCATTCTTGCAGTAGCAGAACCAACTGCCGCTATATGGATTCAGAGGGTGCCGGCAACAGTCCATATCCAGGTTGAGGACCATGGCGACTGGCCACTGCTCTGGGAAGTCGACATGAACTTTCCAGAAGAGATGAGAGGGAGTGCTGCGCACCAGCGGTCCAGAAGGACGGCGGAGCTATGAGCCTGTGGCTGTGCAACATTAGTGTTATCTAACATTCGTTCAGATCCGATGGTTGATATGGTCCGGAGGCAGGCACACCATCACCGCCAACTCTGTTTTTTATAGGAGTAGAGATTTTCC